AGGCAAGGCAAAGGTACGGTTCTTCTGTACTGCACTTTTCCTCAATGTGATCTATGTACCTACAAAGTTTTTTGTTTATACCTCTTATGGCTTTAGAGTTCTGATTCGGACAAAGTTCGAAGTGTAAAAATAAAAAAGGCAATTACTCCAAAATAAGGTAATGCAGAGTTACATTTCTATCGCACTGAACATCTACCCAATGAGATATAACTACCTACAAATCTTTAAATCACAAGTTATAACAAAATAAGCCTAAATTCCTTAATATGTTTCTAACTTTTGTATCTTCTTCAAAAAATACTAATTATTTTTTAGTACGCCGCTGGTTATATGTATTTTATTGCTGAGGAAATTTTTTGTGCCTCAAAATGTTTTAGAAAATAACTAGTCGGGCAATATAGACAGCAAAAATAATGATATTGATCAGAGACTTATATTACAGATCAAATACAGGTAGATATGAACGTATGTAAGGGAAACTATTGCGTAGTCTCCCTTCGCCATATGGGTGTATTCGATTTGCCGTGAAACATGTAACTGACATTTCAAAATATAAAATCGACGAAGGTTTTTGTTTTGGCTTATTTACAAATGTATGTATTTCTTACCATAATTAGTTGTTGATATTTGTAGAAAATTATCAGCATTATAAGTGTAATATATGCTTTGTGATATTTTAATATCATCTTTTATTACTGACTAATGTCAGAGACATAGATAATATGTTATCTACATCTCTGCTACAGTAGTGACACAAACAGAACAATATTGCACTACCGTCATTTTGTAAGCTTTGTTTGTATTGGAATTACATTCCTTAACCCATTACTTCATGAGCATTTTGTGAAAAGTGGCTGTTTTCATTGAAAAGTCTCCCGTTACAAGTTCAAATTGCTATAATACTATAAAAAATGCGTTAACACTAATCAAACTTGGCACAAATGTTGACTGGACCATTGCCCTTGAAACAACATGCTCAGGCTTAAATTTTCTGTTACCATGGCAACGAGGGGACATCTCATAATTGCCAGAAATCACTATTTTGCGTTGATTCATCTGCAGCTCATCAATAGATTGAGATAGAGTCAAATGCTTTTCAGTGTTGGGTACACGTTACCTTATGATCAATCTTGGGTCATTTATAGCCTCTCACAAGTCCAAAATTTTCTTGGCGATGAGGGGGACTCCGCTCCCCTTCAACACCCCCCCCCCAAACAGAAGGGGGCACATCCCCTTCTGGCAACCCCCTGATGTATCTTTTGGTTGGGGGCCGCGTCGAAAAAGTGGTCAAACGGTTAATAGGTACGCATTGGTGAAAGCATAATTTTATTACATATCTGCCCTTTCTCTTATTAGTATTATTATGTTTAATTTTGCTTGATTTAATAGACAAAAGTACTTAATCTAATTAGATAATGACCTGCTGCGTAGGAATGATTTGGTAAAGTATCTGTAATGAGCGCATCTATTTTACGCGGAGGGGTCTAAATTGCTGCAACATTTGTTCATAATGTAGTAACCTGAAATTTGCTATAACTGTAACCTAAACTGTACTGCATGAACTCAACTCCTTACCTTAATTGACTTGAACTTGAGAAGTTATTTTTCTTCTAATCTTTAATAGTGAGGATATGTTGACATTTTCTAGCCATAAAACTTATAATGAGCTGCGTTTTACTAGAAATCAAAACACCAACCCATGTATACGGGTTATGAGCCAGATTAAAGCTATCCTGTTTTATCCAATTTGTTTTCCTTGTTTATCCTCCATTTTCACGATGCGCAGCTCAATCTAACTTCTGAGGGGAATTGTCACTTTCACTCGATACCTGTGATTATAAATCCTATTGTTATTGTTTAATAATTGTATAAGTCACTGTTTTGCCAAGTAACAATGTTTAATTCCATGTATTTTTGTAGTTATGATCCGTTTTCTTAGAAAAACGTGCTTCCACTTTCACTTCAAGATGCCATTTTGAACTGTTTCCGGTACGTTACTAAGGACGACCGGCTACAGTTAAGTTATTGACGAAATTCTGCGATCGGATTTTTGTGTATGTTCTTCATTGAAAAGGTATAACTTGTTTAAGATAATGCCATAATAGTTGTAACAAAATGTTCTATGTCCGTTTTTTATTATTTCATAGGTCTAAGAGTCTATGTTTAAATTTCTAACCGTTTTGGTAAATCAACCAATATTTCTTGGTCGGACCAACCATTTTTTTTGGCTCCAACCACAAACACTTTGGTAAACCAACAACTTCAACCACTTTATTTTTGTTGGGATTTGTCTGGGTATAAAAGGGCCCGGATTTTTGATTGAACAGCTGAGTCTTGATCAGAACTTCAGAGGCAAAACCCCGTTTTGTTGAGATACAAATTTGGGCGGAAAAATCTATAAGTGCCGTCTGCAATTTTACATACTAAAGTAATTTAACTATTCTAGATAAATAACAATTTATTTATTCAGATTAAACAGTTCTGCGCTATTTTCTAGATATTTAATCTTTATTACACGTTTTTATTAACACTTTACTGCTTGAAATAGATTATTTAACTGCTCGTTGAATTTAGTCACGGTTCACTGGTACGCTATTTTTCCGTGTTGACTATTAAAGAAGGTACACGCGTTAGACATTAAGATACATTACATTAAAGGAGATATAATTTAGAAAACGGTTTTAACATAAATAAGACTTGAAACTCTGATGATTTTTACTACAAACTTTCACTTATTTACATTATCGTATAGAATATGTTGCTGAATGATTAAAATACAATTGTGCTCATTTGTTGACAATTTATTATTTTGTTATTGTAACTTTGTTATAATCAAAATAAACTTGCAATTGACTACTGGAATAAACAGTGTTTAAATGTTACAGAGAACTTATTTATCTATTTAGAGATAGTATGGAAGGCCGTGACTGTCTTATGTAATCAATGGTTTTGTTATCTTGTGAAACAATGATATTATTTTGTCATTTGAGCATGTTAACATGTGCAATTTACATCATGTTTTGTCAAAGGAACATGCTGACTTGTACAAACAGCATGTTAACTTGTCAAATTATTATGATGACATGTGGAGACAACATGCTAACTTGTCAAAGTATCGTGATGACTTGTGCAAATGACATGGTAACTTGTCGAATTATTGTGATGACATGTGCAAACAGCATGTTAACTTGTCAAAATGTAATGATGACTTGTGCAAACGACATGTTAACTTGTCGAATTATTGTGATGACATGTGCAAACAGCATGTTAACTTGTCAAAGTGTCATGATGACTTGTGCAAACGCCATGTTAACTTGTAAAAGTATAATGATGACTTGTGCAAACGACATGTTAACTTGTCGAATTAATGTGATGACATGTGCAAACAGCATGTGAACTTGTCAAATTACCATGATGACTTGTGAAGACAACATGTGAACTTGTCAAAGAATCGTGATGACTTGTGCAAATGACATGTTATTTTGTATCATGCTGACATGTCAAAACGTATTGTTAACTTGTCATAGTATTATGATAACTTGTGCAAATGCCATGCTAACATGTCAAAATTCCATGATGACATGTGTAAACAGCATTTTAACTTGTCGAATTATCGTTATGACATGTGCATACAGCATGTTAACTTGTCGAATTATCGTTATGACATGTGCATACAGCATGTTAACTTGTCCAAGTATCATTATGACTTGTGCAAACGAAATGTTAACTTGTCCAAGTATAATGATGACTTGTGAAAATGCCATGCTAACTTGTCAAAATTTCATGATGACATGTGCAAACAGTATGTTAACTTGTCAAATCATCGTGATAACATGTGCAAACAACATGCTAACTTGTCCAAGTATCATGGTGACTTGTGAAAGCGATATGTTAACTTGTCAAAATGTCATGATGACATGTGAAAACAGCATGTTAACTTGTCAAGGTATCGTGACGACTTGTGCTTACTCCATTCTAACTTGTCAATGTATCATGATGACTTGTGCAAATGCCATGTTAACTTGTCAAATTATCATGATGACTTGTGCAGACAACATGTTAATTTGTCAAAGAACCGTGATGACTTGTGCAAAACAGATGTAAACTTGTTAAGGTATTATGAGCATGTCATCACGAAAATTCGACAAGTTAACATGCTGTTAGCACATGTCATTATGAAATTCTGACAAGTTAACATGTCGTTTGCACAAGTCATCATGATATTTTGACAAGTTGACATGTCGTTTGCACAAGTCATCATGATACTTTGACAAGTTAACATTTTGTCTGCACATGTCATAATGATTATTTGACAAGTTAACATGCTGTTTGAACAAGTCACCATTGTCTTTAGACAAGATATGATGTAAATTGCACATGTTAATATGCTTAAATGACAAAATAATATCATCATTTCACAAGATATCAAAACCATTGATAGCATAAGACAGTCACGGCGTTCCATAAGATAGTGTTCCGTTAAAATTATAAGTAAAAGGTTTAAATAAGCAAAGTAGATATAGAACAGCAATCACTATAGAAGTAAACTGTGTGGAACCAACCAACTCCCTTTACAGACTACATTAATAAACCTCTACTGAGAGACCACACTACCAAAGGTTTTTACCTCACGGCCTAGACCGTGACAATAATGGTTTATTTTTCTTCTTTTTTACTTTCTTGTTTATTATTATTTGCACGTTTCTTTATTATTTTTTTTTCATTTAAGAACCAACATCATGGTTGTTAGTTGGCATGTGTCAATGGTTTTACAGTTCCCTTATACAGGCCATAATGCTCTGAAACAGGAAAAACGATTTTGACTAAGCTTAGATTTTACAAACTTTAAAAGAACCTCAACTACTGACGCTAAGAGATACAAAAGTTATTCGAACCCGTTAAATCGCTTAGTACTATAACGCAGGGATAACAGGTTGCTGCAATTCTTACGCCTGAACAATGAGAACTGTACAATTGATATTTGACATAAAAGCTTTGGTTATAATCATCTTTATTTGATATAATTGTAAATTATGGTATTTGGGTAATGAAAATAAAACATAATTACATAACTTATTTCATTTTTACGAGATTAATACGTATAATTTTCGTATGATATGAATATAATGATTTTAACAGTCATGTAAACAGGTAAATTGTTTACCAAGCATCAACAATGAGTTTTTAGTTGGACCATACGTCGCACTAAGACAGTAATGGTCTTATTTGTCGATTCTATCTTTACTGGTGTGCCACCAGTGCATTATTTCAGGCACGAACGGGAAACTGACAAGAGCCACAGACGACGACCCATAATCAAGTGATGACAACACTGTGCATATTTGTACAGAAATATATATGTGTTTATGAATAAACACATATTACTTAATATAATTGCAACATAATAGCGGCGGTATATAGAAAACTTCAGTCCTTAATGAACCGCAGGATGAAGCTTTACTATCAAAGACGAAATTAATTATTTTCAACAGAACATTTGTTCATTAATAACTCTACTAATTCATCTTTGAGCTCCCAATTTTCAGGTTTTTGTACATGTTCACATTGTCACTGGTATCGTACGTTTGAAGGGCTGAAAAGTAGAGATATTTTTAATCTTTAGAAAAATATATCACTAGGCAATTAAACGTCAGTTTTTAAAAGTTTTAATAACAAACATTTATATCGTAACGATCTTGCATTATCGTTTTTAAGAAAAATTAATCCCTGTATTCTCTAAATCTTCATGTTCCAGACAATATATGTTTGTTCTAGGTAACTGAGTTTTGCTTCCGTAGAATCGATATTTATGTACCAAAGTTGAACATTAAAATGTTGATAATGACATATGATTAATAAAGAATGCCTAATGACCGATGCGAACATTTCAAAAAACATTAATGTGCGAATTGCACAAACTTCGAATTTGAGTTCTCAACAGGTGTAAATCACGTGACATTTTTGCCAAAATGTTATTACTATTTTTTTTCTTAAAGTTAAATATTCAAGGTATGCAACTAATAAAAAGTTATGCATGCAAGTCACATGTACATGGTCCCCTTTTTTCAAGTTGGTTCCAAAATATCCCCATAACGCTTTGTGAATGCGTTGACAATATGTAATGAAGTATTTATATTTTACACAACTTAATCACATTTTCAGGTGACATACCCTTGTTGTGTGACTTGTGCATTGACTCAATTTGTTTAAATGAATTTTGATTAAAAATATCATACTGTTTGGTTGTTAAGCATAATATGTCTTACCTATGACATTTTCGGTGGTTGAGGTGGCTTGAAATTGGGCATCGTCTTTTGTTATATCTAAACGGTCGGTCATAGGTTTCTGATCTATGAAATGTATGCATTTAAACATAAAAAACTGCTTTATTAAAGTATCTAAAAATATATGTTTGCTGACAGCAGAGTACAAGATATTTGTTATAATTTCGAAAAAGAATAATTAGAAAATAAATGCATGTTAATAGAAATATATTGGTATTTCTTTTTTTTTTTTTTTGCTAAACGGTTAAAATTCCAATTTTATTCTGTTTAAGTATAGTATACGTTTGTAATGTATACGAGTAACAAGACATTCTATGTTACAACTCTTTCAAAAATCGAGCATAAGATTATGGAAATATTGCATGATGATTCCAAAACCAGATTTAGCTTAATATCCTTACAACTTTATTTAATGCTGAACAGTGCGCTCCACTTTTTATCAATGTTGGATAGTAAAATAAAAGCAACACGGAAAAAAGAACAAAACTCCGCAACCGTACTTATAAGACTGAAAAGGTTTTTTAGAAAAATAAAAATGCATGTGAAATAATAAAGGAAAATAGGATTTTGTAATTACTTACCCCCACCCCCTTTTTTAATTTCATTTCAAATTTGATAGTGAACAAATTCTCATCGTTAAAAGTGAATAGTCTCACACTTAAAAGTATTGTATCAAGTAAACAAGAGGACCTTAGTTTGCTCACCTGACCACTCGAACTCATCCGAGCAATTGTTTAAACAAGCATCCTTGTAATTGTGTAAAAAATGTGACCTCTGGAGTTTTAACAAAGTTGTGCCATATTGGGGCAGTGTGACCTAGTTTTTGACCCCAGGTGATGCATATTTTAACTAGACCTAGAAATCATCAAAACAAACTTGCAGACCGACAAATTTCCAGGATATTTAGATAACAACAGTAGCAACTAGAGAGTTAATACGATTTCTCTATTTTTAGCTCCTGTGACCTAGTTTTTTAACAGAGATGACACATGTTCGAACTCATACGAAAAATTAATTAGACAAATATCCTGACCATGTATGATGACAATTGAGTCAAATTGTGACCAATAGAATGTTAACAGGGTTTTTGGATATTTCGATGATGGTGTTGTGACCTAGTTTTTGACCCCATGTGACCAAAGTTGTTAAGCCATCTCTTTTACACACATTTCACACTTTCAGGGGTATAACTAAAACTACAAATGTTTCTTAACGTATTAGATTTGTCAAGCTATTGACACCGAAAATCGTTAACTAAACAAAACTTAAAAAGGATGATCACCAAATAAAACTAGGTTTCCTCAATAAGATAACACATTTCTTTTGATTTCCCTTTTTTAAATTATCATTATTATTGTTTCTTTTAGGAGCCATGCAACATTGGCAAAGGAACAATTTTTGGGCTATTATAACAAATACTTATGAACTCATTTCTTAACAAAGCTAGTAACATATCATTGTGTATTAACTATTGGTGATCTCAGAGAAGATAAAATTAAACGGAAATTTAATATAAATGGAAAGGTATAGCTTACTTGTTTGCATCCGTTAAACCTGTATGTATAAAAATGGACAAAAAATCAATTATCCATTTTCCAATAGAATGTACAGAATGCTTTAACCATAATTGTGTTTATTGTAAGTACTTACAGAATGTTTCAATATTTAGAAATCATGCATGTTTTCAAACACATTTGATGTATCTTTACAATGCAAGATTATTGGAAAATTAATGAATATAATGTTGTCATAAATTCAGCAATTGATAACTGATCCATTTTCTTATTTTATCAATAACATATAAAATGATCGGTAGTTCACTTAATGTTTTATAAAGTTTTTCAAGTCTTACCATGCAGGTCTTCATATTGTACATTCGATGTTGAATCCAACTGAGCTGTTCTATGAAATATAAATGAATTCCCACAAGAGTGATTATCATGATAAAAAATAAAGTACTAAATGTACATTATAGTGAGTTAAAATTAAAACAAAATATATATAAAAGATACCTTTTAAATATTTTTAAAGACTAAAGAAACGTGATATTATGTGTATATCGTTACATTTTCAACAAAAACTATCTAAACAATATTCTGAATATTTGCGAAAATAGAGGTTTACTATTCAAATATAAACATGTAAATCAATTCAGAGCCAGCTAAAAAATTAATCTTTGTAGAATATATTTGTATGTGAGCTGTGTTTTATGCATTAACATAAAAATACTTACGATTCATATAAATTTTGCGTAGCTTGTTCTGTTGAGAAGAAGACATGTTTTATTAAAGATTTCAAACAAACATTGTATATTTAAATTTAAAAAAGATTTCAATAAATATTTATATAATAAGGTATATCGTGAACAAATTATATATACACACATTCAGAAATTCGCTCTATGGTTTTTACTGTAAACATACTCATTCGTAACGCGTAATATGTACAACACCCAAACATGAAATTGCTTACTCTGTAAAATATTGTACAAATAATGTATACCTTTTGCTGTTTTTCTTTTCTTCCAAATGAAAATCCCGATGCAAATAGCGGAACCAATAAGTACGACTGAAATAATCACAGCCGCTATAACTCCAGTTCTATCATCTGGTTTGTCACCCTCAAATTCTAGAATGTGAATATATTACTTTAGTTTCCAAAGTAACACAATGAATTTAGATTGATTTCGGTTTTATTATAATCGTTTAGAACATGTAAGTACTTTCAATGCTTTTATAAGAAATAAACGTTTTATTTTGAATATTCAACCAAACATATATGATACCTGTTTCTAAGACAACATCAAATGTAGTTGCTAAAACTACGTGTTCAGATCCTCCTTTTGAATTGAGAGAAAATATTCGAGCAGTATATTTTCCTGGTGAAAGACCCGTTATATTTGCAGTATAAAATATACTGTTAACTCTATATTTACTGTCTATCTCGCTAACATTTAACATATTTGTCCATGTGCCTCTACCCACAATCGATGTTTGTATAATAAAATATTGTTGAAGTCCTCCATTGAAGTCTTTTTGCCAAACAAATTTCAGTTTATTATTTTCCGACAGGAACTGTAAGAATTTAGGTGGAAATGGTGGACCTGAAAATTTAAAATATATCTCCAGTTACGACATTTATTAAAACAAATATTTAAACAAATCAGACCAATAATATTTTTGAATCAAAGAAAATTCTCTCAAACACCGATGTATATGATATTTTTTTTATGTGGCTACAATACTATGAAGTTCGATTTTAAGATAAAGGCCTCAAAAGGTGCCCATTTTTCATTATTTGAGGTAAAAGCGAGCATCTGCACATAGCGTTTTAAACATATAACAATTATTTGTTTGAATATTTCTAAACACCAATTTGCAAATAATATCTACAAGAAGTGCTGCCTTTATATCAATTAAATAATGATAACATTTATATCAAACGATTCAGCTTTGTTGGATTTGCACGAGAGCCAAATAGTGTCAACAACATTTTCATAGCTCATAAGTGCGGTATTCTAAGTCGAAATGAAGAAATAAAACTTAATTGGGATACATTGGTCTAAAATTAGAAATTGTAAATTAGAATATTAAAATATCGGTATCAAGCAATAATAAGAGCTTGTAAATAAACAGATGAGTTTTTATAGTCGAAATAGAGGCTCTTGTGATAGGCCTTCTTAGAACCTGTAAATACTTTGTCATGGGCTTGAGACAATCTTATAACGACAAATTGTAATGATTTATTTAGCCTCAGTTTCGGTAAAAAAAGAAATATTTACCTATTCGTTATTTTAATGCAAACAAGTATTTATCATTGATATAAATATCTGATAAAGAGAACTTTACTAAGTCCTCAACTATTATAAATAGTGATAAGTTAAAGTTTTGTGTTATAAGGTGAAAAGAATATTTATAAGAGATACGAGAAACCGATATATCATTACGAGATATTACGTCGGTTTTAATAGATAAAATAAAACCAGAAATTACAATATATCTTGCTTAAAAGGTATAAAGTGATATCCTATGAAAGCTTTTTAAAAAACTTATCATCAGTAAAATTGTATTGGATCCATTATCATATGGTCGATTCTGAGAAAAGTTGTAACATAGATTATCCCTGTTATTTAACAAATATAAATATTGTTTAAATTGGCGAAACCGAGGTTGAATAATTGTTTTTCCTAGTCTATTCACGTCTGGAAGAAGGCACTTTGGAAGAAAATACGACTAACTTTATCTTAACTTATACGACGATTAAGTGTAAAGAACGAGACAAACAACAGATATATTAATACACGTTTAATTATAAAAAGATTTAATGGAAAATAAGATAGTTCGGTTAAAAAATTGCATGGCTTTTAAGCCTTAGGCAGTGCAAAGTGTAGGCAAATTGAATTCGCACGGTATTTCAGTGTGACTATTTCAATCAGACATAATTCAATTTTAATCATTAACAAACAAAGTGTTAAAATGAATGCTTTCTATAAAGAGTCATATTAATTAATCGATAATTTCGTTCAACATTGAAACAGACACTTAACATATACTAGTATTGCGTCAATGTTATATGGATAACGTTTTGGACCTCAAATTTGGTAAGTTTACAAATTCACTTTCTTAACGCAATGGCAGTTATTTTTTTGAGGCGTTTGGAGGGGGTGGAAGTAAATGTCATACTTTTTTCAAATGTCATACGTAATTAAAAAAAAACACAAACACAAACATACAAATAAAAAGAAAACAGTCAGTGCTAAGAATCAACAGTTACTTGTTCCTCGGAATTTTGCCAGCAGAGCATAAAAGTATGTCACTTTCCTAGACTCAGTTATCTAATGTGGATTTTGACAGAACTATGTCCATTTTAAAATTTCGAAAAGTCTACATTATCAAGGCTGTTTTTTTACTATCGAGCAATGAGAATGGTCAAGCGCATTGTTCTTGTTTCTCTTTCGAAGAATTTTCACTATAGATACAGTGCAAATATGCTAGAGAAAGAAGTTAAAGTTGATCATCGCGAACTGTTTTACATTCAATTTTCGAGATGATTAACATTGAATGGCGCCAAAGGTTTCAATTGAGAATGTATAATATCACTTCTTTATCTATAAAAATTCAGAGAGGCGGCACTTTTGCAAAAAGTAGGACGCTGCATTAAATCCCGGTTGAATGTAACGGTTACTTAAGAAGACACTCTGTGAACAGCTCTGCTTTGGTATAGTCCTTAAAAAAATTGTATACACTTTACATTATCAATGGTAACAGTAATATCGTATATACGAGATAATCATTTTCGAAAAAAAAAGAATGTATCAACACATAACAAAGTATTTTGTTTCAGAAAAATGCACGTTATATAATATATAACACATATTTGAAGAAAATACTGTTACGAGCCAGGCGTAACGAGAAAGAAAAGCCAGCAACAAACTTGTAATAATAACAAATTTATTACAGAAAAATTATTAAAGAAAAATAAAATAACAAATTATGTTTACAAATACCTGAAGTCCAAATAAAAATGAAATCTTAAATGTCTAGTCTGATCCTGGAATGATCCTTTTTGAATAGCACAGTTAAAATCCAAGTTAAATCCAAGAACACTTTAGAATAAATTCCCACAATAAAATCCACAAGAATAATTTATTTTAAAATCCAAGCTCCAATAATTCACTTAATATCCAAGTTGAATAATACTCCAAATATATTGATGACTTAAAAGATCACTGATGACTAAAAAGGTAAGAGTAATGAAAAATGTCTCCTTATATATATTAACTAAGAAGTTTCTAGAATAGTCTTCCATTTACTACAGTAATCATAATCTAGCAACTTCAACAATAAAGATCATTCCAGAAATTTCTATCTAAATATAATGCATGAGTTTTCTACAACAGTTAAGAACGTTCTAGTACATACATGTAGTTTATGTTCTAAAAATAGAACAATGATAATATTGGAAATACCAACTGGTCAGATATAAATTATATACATGTAATATGTTGCATACATAACAATACATATATGTAATTAAATTTCCTACAGTTTTATTTGATAAGACAGTACACAAACTTGCCTTTAAAGTAATAAGAACTATAAAAATATGAACAATAGAAATCAAGAAATGAAGTGAAACCAATAAGGCGGGTTATCGGGTTGTTTTGGTTTTTGTTGTTGTTTTTTTTTACATTTTCGGCCAGGCATTTCAAGTACTCACAGTGTATAATGCTAACATGTTAACTGCGAATGTAAGGAACCCCACAAATGAAAATATGGTAAATGTTGATTTTTGTAAATAAAATAAAATCTGCTTACCTTCTGCTATCACATGAACAAAAGCTTGTGTTGTATCAAGAGCAATTGTGATTTTGAATGAATAATTTCCGAAATCGTCTTCCTTTGTATCATTCAACGTGAGATAAATTGCATATCCTTGTAGAATGACATCTTTGCCATAAAAATTTTTCTCCACAGAATCATCCATGACAGTAAACATGTCACTAGAAATAGACTGACCATCATATCTTGTAATTTCTATAGTGTCAAGTACGGGGTTGCTGTAAATTGGGATTTCAATATTAATTACGTCTCCCGTTGAACCAGTAAATCGAAGATCATCTTTAAGTATCTTTGGAGATATTGTTATTGAAAATATATAGGAAAGAATACATCATTAAAACCGTGAATATACATTAGCACCATTGTAAGTGAACGGACCAATATATCTTAATATATATTTATAAAGCTTTCGTGTTTATCGCAAACAATCACTTAAACTCTTAAAGCTAGAATTAAACCATATAAAATGTTTAATGATCGTGCAAGTAACGTAAAGAACAACTGTAAAATAATTTAATTTGGTTAAAGCTTAAAAAAACAAAACTTTTCACTAAATATTGTTTTAACAAAGAACGGAATAAAATGTATCAAAATATAAGAAAATTATAGCAAATATGATCAATTTGAAAACTATAATACCTTGATAGACATTTCAGTGGGCTGGGCCGGGGGCAAAAGCTTATAAAAACTGACGAAATAATGCCGGTCTCAAAGAAAAAACTATTTTCTGCTGATACCTGTTCTCAGCAATTTCTTTTTGATAAATAAGACATAAAATGCTAGTGTGCGGAGAAAAATGTTAAAGGACAGTCCCACGGGCAATATAAAATCACAAATCTCACCCTGGCCACTAGGCGTTAAGAACACACCACTAGCTAAAAATAAAAAATAAATGTGTTTTTGAGCCTAATTGGTAAGTGAAAAGTACCACTCTCCGAAAACCCGCCTCACATTTGATAGGGTAAGCAGAATTTACAATTACAGATGTTTATCTGTACCGTAATATAAATAAGAGCGATCACTGATCACATGTGTTGCCTCATGATAGCCAATTGCATGATGTAGCTACTGTGTAGCAGGTGACACAGAAATCATTTACAGGGTAAAATGCGTATTTTATTCAAAAGCCATAACTCGGCAAAAAACATTTAAAGCAATAAACCCGTATAATATGCGCAATTTATTGAGCAACCGATCAATGCTGTAGAGTTCCATTGAAATTGCATCATTGGTAAAAGAGGAGTAGTTCGGACAAAATTTAAAATTAAAAACTTAAGTAAACATGTTAATTACTTCATATACGAATTGTGTTCAGATTTGCATCGTTCCGTTCACATATGCGGTATATCAGGTTATTTTTGCGTACAGAAAATTTCGCGATTATGGAAGTAATTTAATTTTTGCGTATCTAATTTTAACGATTTTGGTATACATCTTTTGTTTTTTTCATTGTTGTTATGCTGGCAAAGAAGAGAGATGACTCTTTGTGACAGAAATTTATAGTTTTCACAGGTAAACATTTGTTTTCAATTTTCCTATTGATATATTATTACAAATATGTATTCAGTATTTCAGGGTCTTAACTTATTACATTGTTTACATGTTATTGTAAAGTTGCCTTTGTTTGTATACCTACTTGAAAGGTAAATTAATCAGGCAATCATTTAAATAAGCATCACCAAAAATACCTGTTTGCTCAATGTGTTACTTAAGATTTGTATGTACTTAAACACAATCTAAACAACTATGAATATCGCAATTGATATTTGACAAATTGATTTGTAGGTAACACAATGTAAGTACACACGACTAAACTGGTAATAAACAATCTGAGGCAAAATGAAATTCCATTAACTCGCAAAATCCCCGTATTAAATTGAGTAAAAATTTAGCGAATCTATTTCGAACGATATTGATTGCGCGTGAATATAGAGAAAATTAGATACCTGTGAAAAAGAAAACAACTGATATACGATATATTGAAGTAAATGAATACTTCCGGGCAATTTGTAAGTTTTTAATCTCACTTCTTTATGAAAATAATTTACTACTTTATATTGATTACTCTTCATATAAAAATTGAAGAATAATACGGTACTTTGATTTTTGTGATATCCCTATACATATAAATCTCAGTATGTTTCGTCGTTACTTTAAGGACTTACGTCATTGTAAAAATTCTGAAAATAGAATTTGGAAATCTGTTCTCTAGGCGTATTACCCTTAAAATAAAAATAAGAATTAAATAGAAATATAATTGGTTTGGGAGGTACAAAGTGTTCCTGTGGACCCTCCCCGTTTTATGTCTCACACATACAAAAACACTTCTACAACTATGTTCGTATGTATTATGTACGTATATCAATAGTTTAAAAGGCTTTAATGATTTTCCTTTAAATCATATAGTTTACCTTGTACAGTAATCTTCCTTGTACCACTTTGGTCAAGTATTCCCGATAGGTTTGATATTCCATTGTTTAATGTACATGTGTATGTCCCTGTATCATCAAGTCGGAGTGATTTAAAGTAAAGGGAGCTATACTTCTCTGTATTATCTACAGCTGTATTGTTATTTGGTATAGCAACATTGTTCCAGCTTTGAATTAAACTTTTGTAGATGTAATAAGATGGTACACCATGGCCATTACAGTATAATGTAAGACTTTCTCCTTCTTTTACACTTGTCGTGTTGTCGGCAAAACTATTATGGTATTCTGCAGTGATCGGAAATGACAAGATGGACAGATTCGCTATTAAAGATTCGTTAATAACATTTCGCCATGATTGATAACAACTAGATACAACGATAAACATCAAGTAGATAAGTTTTCTTATTTTGAAGTAGATTTTATTATCATGAGAATGTGAAGTTGCATTTTTTTCTTGTACACAAAAATTTACAACCTTTATCTTATCTGAACAGGTAAAACAGGGTTTTTAGAAGCGAATATAATACAAGGTAAGATATAGAATTTGAAACGTTTCGATGGCAAAGTTGGTAGAGTCAATGGCACTTTATCATTTTACATTTTATTATTAGTTTTTTTTTTCTTGTTTTCTTTCCCTATTTTTTTTTTAGATTTTGCATTAGATGCACATGAAGTGGAATATAAAAGTTGCTTTGTTTCAATATCTTACAATTCAAATTTACCGGTAATAATGAGTTTTTATCCTAAGCATATGTAGTAGTATGTAGTATGTAGCAGTCATAGAATTTGTACATTGCACGAGTATTTCGTGCCAATTTAACTACTCTTGAAACAATGTGTGTACATGTATGCATTCCGTTTAGTATTCCGTATGTTGTACCAACTAGCTAGCTAGATATGAATACATTGATAACAAAAGAAAAAGTGAATGATAATTTGATATAAAATAAGAAAACACTTAATATCTTTACAAACAAAATACAACATATTCTTATTTAATTATTAATAACACAGGAACAAAATGCGAAAGAAGTACAATCCCTACTTGGCTGTATTGATATTTAACTAGACAACCTGACTAACTGCAAAGTTAGTTTGTAAATTGGTATTTATTTATATTGCAAGCATAATAAATACAACGGGATAACTGCTTTACACCGTTATTATGATAGTGGAAATGAAGTTACTAAATAATTGTCATACAGGCACAGTAAGTATATTTATTTGAAATATAGTTCGCATTAATCAGCATTTCTTTACGGAAATGTATCGGTCCAAACAACATTTCATAGAGATTAAGGATTACAGTGTATTCAATTTAATTTTATTATCTCTTTTAAGATCTTAAATTATTACTAACAATATTAGAGTTGTTCCAGTACAATTGCGTCTCGTCTGTTTTAATCTTCCTATTATAAATAACATATTCTATTAGATCAACGTAGAAATTATATTTCTTGTCAACAAACAGCCTTTAATAGCACACTAAATTTTTATACAAGTAGGGAAACAATCAGAAAATAGATATTTTATTCTCTGTTTCCGAAACAGGCAATTCAGTTATTTATTCTTCTAAAAATATGTCACGGATTACGACGATAGAAACCCTAAGTTTGTCATCAATATCGAAATAACAAAGAGAGCAGACATATGCTGTTTTATATAACAAGACGATAAGTGCATTAAATCAACGAGCAAAAAGGGTATAACTTTGGACATGAAGGAAATCAGAAGAACTATAACTTAACTATATTTACGCGGGTAATTATTCGTTTTTTTGTGACATGATGCCATACAAATAGCGTAGAGCACAACAGGCAGCATCTGGAGTGAACATTATACTTAGTACATTGAACACATGATGGTATACCGACAAAGAGTTAAGAAAATATGATTTAAAGTCGAAGGTTTCTTCACAAATACTAATTAATATGTACAATGTATGTTATTTTACCTCAGATAATAATGAATGTCTAATTCCTTTCATTTTCATTAAATGAAAATGCGTTTTCAGTATATTTTGGTATTGTATTTTAAGAAGTGCACAAAATATGCTTCTATACGTGCACTGCAAAAAAGGAGGTTTCAGCGCTTCGGAAAGTCATTTCCAATTCAACGTTTCGGATTCCTGAGGTCAATTAACTTGACCTTAATTGGGCATACATTACAAAAAGGTTACCTACATTACACACTGACGACATCGTACATGTATAGCTTAGTGTGCGGAAAAACAACTTATCTTAGTGACTGTAACACTATCGCATTGGACAGTTCTACGTTGACAAACGCAAATGTTTAAAAATATTAATTTATACGTGACACATTCGCACACATACGAACACAAACTGAATTTGCTTGAATACTGTTTTTAAAAGTTTGTTACTCATAGGTAACGGACGATTTTCAACGAAGGTGTATGATTGCATGCGTGCGTGAGTGCTCTGGGACTTATATAACGCATTTTGGAAGAGCATTTCTTTAACACACCTGTGCTTCCAAATACAACCAATGAACACATAGAAATGTCGAATTTATGAAAAAGAAATAAACAGTCACAAGTCGCTAGCGCGGACGTTTATTGTGTTCTACGTCAACGCAATACAATCTTTCGAATAAGCCATCGCTTCTTGATATCGCAACCAGATTGTATACGTCCACCTTTGTCGACGCTGTATTGCATTCAAAACTGATTTTGTCGAATTTGAATGCAGATTGTACTTCGATGAACTTGAGATGTTTTATGAACCATCATGTTACTGCGGATGTTGAAAATAGGTAATAACCGCTGGGTAGGGAATTGGAAATTAAATTACTCGAAATGTTATAAGATATAACATGAGCCTTAATTGTAAATGACCCGTGTTT